GTAGATGTTTTTGTGTTGTGTGATTCAAGTTCTTCGCATTATTTTATTTATGAGAAGTTGCAAAGGATTTATATTTGCAAGCTAAGAAGTTGAGTGATCATTTGTATGTTAATAACCGTATGGGGAAGATGGTGGTGACAGATACTTGGTTTCAAGATTGTCATCTACAAATTAATGGGAGTGATGTGTCAATTGATTTAATTCAGCTCGATATGCAGGATTTAGATGTGATATTAGGAATGGATTGGCTATCCAGAAACTATGCCACATTGATTGCGCTCGTTAGAATGTGGTGTTTCAAATTCCTGGACAATCTATCTTTACTATTGGGACACTTTCCTAGGAGTGGAGTGTTGGTTTCGGAAGTGCCATTGAAAGTAATTTCTGCATTGAAAGCTAAGAAAGAATTGGCCGGCAAAAGGGTGTAGCGGTTTCTTGACTTATGTAATGGATACCCACCAGAAAGAAGTTAAGTTAGATGATATCCTAGTTGTTAAGGAATTTACGTACGTTTTCCTAGAGCGTTTACATAGGTTACCTCTAGATAGAGAAATTGAGTTTGAAATAGAGGTTGTTCCGGAACTATTCCAATCTCAAAGGCCCCTTACCGCATAGCACCATCTGAGCTACGTGAGTTAAAGGTGCTAAATACCTTTAAAAAAATTGATTTGAGATTAGGGTACCATCAATTGAAGGTTAAAGCTATTGATGTACCCAAGACTACTTTTAGGACCTGGTATGGCTATTATGAATTTGGTGATGTCGTTCGGACTAACTAATGCTCCTACTTTTTTATGGATTTAATGAATAGGGTCCTCAAGTCGTTTCTGGACAAATTTGTTGTGGTATTTATTGATGACATTTTGCAATATTCAAAGAGTGAGGAAGAACATGCTCAACATCTAAGGACCATCTTGCACACCTTGAAGGGAAATGAATTGTATGCCAAGCTAAGTAAATGTGAATTTTAGCGTAAAGAGGTATCTTTTCTTGGTCATGTAATTTCTAGAGACGGGATTTCTGTAGACACAACTAAGGTTGAAGCAATAACACAATGGCCGAGACCCACTAATATTACAGAATTAAAGAGTTTTCTGGGTTTAGCAAGTTATTACAAGAGATTTGTGAAAGACTTCTCATTAATAACTATGTCATTGATTCGGTTAACTCGGAAGGGTATAAAGTTTAATTGGGATGAGGAGTGTGAGAAGAACTTTCAAGAATTAAAGGAATTATTGGTTAGTGCACCTATCTTAGCCCTATTATCTGGGGAAGAAAGATTTGTTATTTATAGTGATGCTTCAAGAAGCGGATTAGGATATGTGTTGATGCAAAATGATAAGGTGGTAGCCTATGCCTCTTGACAATTGAAGTCTCATGAAGTTAACAACCCCACTCATGACTTAGAACTAGCAGCTATGGTTTTTGCTTTAAAAATTTGAAGGCACTACCTGTATGGAGAATCTTGTCAAATATTTTCAGACCATAAGAGTTTGGAGTGCCTCTTTACCCAAATGGAAATGAACATGAGACAACGATGATGGTTGGAGCTAATAAAAGAATATAACCTCACTATTAATTATCATCCATGTAAAGCTAACATGGTAGCTGGTGCTTTAAGTCGTAAGTTTTCCACGGTTAATGTGATAGTGGTAACTACTCAAACCTAATTGTTGAAAGATTTTCAAGATTTAAAAGTTGAGGTTATTTTGCAAAATAAGCAAGGAAGGATATTAGAAACTATGATTACAAAATCGGTATTATTAGATCGCATTAAAGTTGCCTAAGTTGATTAAGATTCGTGGGAAAAATACAATTTGGGTTATTGTGGATCGACTCACTAAGCTTGCACATTTTTATACCCATTAAGAAGACCTAGCTAAGTTGTATGTGAAAGAAGTTGTAAGGTTTCATGGTGTATCTGTTAGTATAGTATCTGACTGAAACTCTTGATTTGTGTCAAAATTTTGGAGAAGCTTATAATGAGCCATAGGGACTGAATTAAAATTAAGCACTGCATTTCATCCACAAACAGATGGGCAAACCGAGAGAACTATTCTGACCTTGGAGGATATGCTTCGAGCTTGTGGCTTGGATTTCAAGGGTAGTTGGAGTAAATACTTAACTTAAATTGAGTTTGCATACAACAATAGCTACCAATTGAGTATATGAATGTCACCTTTTGAAGCTTTATTTGGAAAGAAATGTAGATCTCCTTTATATTACGATGAAGTTGGAGAAAGAAAGATCTTAGAGCCAAAACCTGTACAAATCACATTTGAGAAGATTCAATTAATTAGGAAAAGAATTAAAGCTTCCCAAGACAGACAAAAGAGCTGGGCTAACTTGAAAAGAAGAAAATTGAAATTCAAAGTTGGAGATTTTGTGTATTTAAAAGTTTCACCATCTCGAGGAGTAATGAGGTTTGGAGAAAAAGGAAAACTATGTGCACATTACAGTGGACCATTTGAGATTTTGAGTAGAGTTGGTAGTTTGGCTTATGAGCTAGCCCTACCACCACAACTAGCTGGAGTACATAATGTATTCCATGTATCAATGCTACGAAGATACATTGCAGATCCGGGTCATGTTGTAGAGTATCAACCTTTGCAAGTTAGGATGACTTAACTTATGAAGAAGTACATCTTCGCATCATTGACCAAAAGAAACAAGTATTGAGGTCCCGAGTAATCCCATTTGTTAAAGTGCAATGTTCACATCATACTCCAAGAGAAGCAACATGGGAAAAGGAAGATGATATGAAGGATAGCTATCCTAAACTCTTCAAGTTTGATGGTATGTAAGTTTCGAGGACGAAACTTATTTTAAGGTGGGGAGATTGTAATACCCACTATCTTGGAAATAAAAAATATACCTATGTTATTAAAATAGGTCAACAAGTCAAAGGTTATTAAAATTGATATTGGATGAATTTACTAAATTACCCCTCTTTACCCTTAAAGGTTAAGGAACCACTTTGGTCTTGGATAAACATTTCATTTGAAAGAAGATAAGGGGAGCTAACTAGAGAGAGATAGGGGAAGGAAAAACCTTGGAGCTTTGATCTCCATCTTCTTCAAGCTTAGATCTCAAAGCTATTGGAGTATTCTAGGTAAGTTTGACCTCTATATTTCACTCTTTGAGTTGGGTTTATCACTTGAGCCCTAAGATTAATGTTTGAAAATATTAGGGATTTTGACAAGAAGTATTTGGGCGAGCTTAATGGCTAAGATTTGGATGTTTTTAGGTAAGGGATTAACTTTTCTCTCCTTATTTTGGAAAACCCCTAAATATTATGAAATAATCTCCACTACTTTGAATCCCCATTTTATGGTTAGTATGAGTTAAAAATATTTTGGACTATGATTATGTTTTGGGTCTGAAATGCTAAGCTGAATTCTGGATTGAAATTGTATTTGGGTTCGTTGGAATTGTGATTTCGGAATGTATTCTAAGCTAAATTAATTCTGACTGATACAGTCACCATGTGTAGAGACGGTAGAGTGGTTTTGTGGTTGTTGTGTAGGTAGTAGGGCGTGGGTTTGACTCTAACAATTAGCATATTGTGTGTGTTTGTTTTATATCATATGCCTTATAAAAAAATGGTTTGTTTGTTTAAAGTGAGACTTGAATTCTTAACCTCTTGTTTATTAACTTTAAGTTCTTTCCACCTAAGCCATTTCAATCCTTTTGAAATTACTTTGGTTTAATAAACCATTATATGATGTTTAAAGAGTTATGTACTAAGAAAATTATTATTTTGAGAATGGTTTATACCTTGCATATTTCTTAGTTTGATAAACTTATTACCTATTTTGGAAATATGAACTTTGTTATGTGATTTTAAGCAAATGATTTTTGCTACATCGGGCTATTTGATTATAAGAACTATTTTGATTATTTGATCAAACTCATGAGGCAACCTACATTTTGTTGTTTGTTTTGTTTGGCTTGGAATGTTCCTAATTGCTCATTCCGAATCGTCGAGCTTGACTCATTCCGAATCGTCGAGTCTTTCGAATTATTTGTTGGAACATTCCATCCGGCTCATTCTGAATCGTCGAGCCTGACTCATTCCGAATCGTCGAGTCTTTTTGGACTATTATACCGATAATGGCATGTGCCACATAATATAATGGTGGTTGTAGGTTGCCAATGAGTTAAATGTAAAGGAATGATTGGTGCTTTTGAAAGTATTGTATTATGAAATAATATTGATGCCCATGTAGCTAAAGTTTTTCGTTTTGGGAATTTGTGTATAGTATGATGGAAGTATGTTATGATTTTGATATAATTTAAGGATTGAGTTTTGCATCTAGTTGTTACTCTAAAGTTTTTTGTATTATATTGGGGCTACTTGATTCGGGGTTGAGAAGAGTATCACTTACTGGGCATTAGCTCATTATTTGTATTTTTTCTCATGTTTCAGAGTAGTTAAGGACATGTGAATAGCACGAGCACAAGTGGTGGGGTCTCGAAGGTGACTTTTGAAACTTGGAGACTTAGTCCTAGTTTTGGAGCTTATCATGGATTTTTGTTTATTTAGACTTTCCCTTTGACCCTTTGTATTTTTGGTAGACCATTGTGCTTGGTTTTGGTGCTTGTGATGCATTTTGGACATACTACTCTTAATTATAAATATCTAATAGTGGATTTGATGAGTTTTTGGGAAGAACAAGTTGATTATATTTTGTAATTTTGGGTTGTGGAATTATTGTATATTCAAGAGTTATTATGAAGATTCTGAGAGGTATGTATGGTTAGGCTTCGTATTGTTACAGGTCTTCACGTAACGATACGGCCGTGTCATGTCCTAAAAGTGGGGCGTGACAAACATCCCTTTTTTTCTCTTTAGCAGCTCTCTTAGATCCACCTAAATTAAGAAAACTCTATAAATAGTATATGAAATATATGACAAAATGAAAATTAAAGAGAAAATCAAGAGAAACTAACTTACGTTCAGTAATGCTTCTTTTTCTCTTGGAACGTGACGTATGATATTAAAAGCCAACATCATTGTTCTCTTCTTCTACATCTATCTCATCCTCGTCTTTCTTAACTTGAGTGACTATATTGACATCAAACTCTACCAAAAAAGCATTATCTTGAAAATTAACATCATTGCCGTTATTATTTTTCAACCCCTTCACTCGAGCTTCTTCACCTTCAATTATTATCTTTTCACAGCCGGATGAGTCAAGTACGAAGAAGTCAAACACAGTAGGATGGTCATAGATAAAAACCAATGTATCTCCATTGATGAAAGAGTTATCCTTTACGAATTTCGCCCAACCATGCTTGAAAAAACAACAATCTCCTGTATAAGTTATCTCTATGTTCCAAACTTTCTTCATACGATTCCTGAGTACAACCTTGCGCTGATATCTCTTCCGTGGTTCCATGTATGATTTGGGAATTTCCTTTTACAAGAAACATGTTAAATTTGTTAAGTTGATGAAAAAACACATTTGTTTTCAAAATTAGGAATGTAAGGTTTAGGTTTAGGCAACAATGAAACACATAAAGGCTCAGTTTCGCAGAGCTTATTTAGGACCGTATAGCTTATTTTAAGCTACTAATAAGCTATAAATTCTGTTTGGTAATGTTCTCAAAATAAGCTCCTAGCTTAAAATTACAATCTTAGTCAGAAGCAAAATATTGTCTATCATTAATTATTAAAATAAAAGAGATTTTATCGTTCACACACACAAACATACATACATACATACATATCTATATATATATATATATATATATATATATATATATATATATATATAGCATTAGTATATATGTGTAGGCCTCATTGATACACACACTTCTATTCTGAATAAGAAAATAAGCAACAATGAAAACAACCCAAAATCCATTTCTATAAAATATTCTTTCTTATTGGTTTGGGTAAGAATAGTTTTTGTGAGGATTTCTAAATGGTAAGTGATATACAAAGTATCTATTTATCATAATGCATGTCTTAATTTATCTTAAGATTATAATTAAAACATGTACGATATGAGAATTTGAAATCAATGTTGTCAAATATATTAGAAGACCAGTGCGCAGTAGATGAGCGGCACCTAAGTTTCTTAACCATTAAAATAAAATAAAATAAAAGGTACAGCATAGTCCTACTGGAAAAATAAATTACACTAAGAGCATCCACACTTGTGCATATTGTGGGGAGATTTCAGCATTAATTCTTCCCTACATGAGATAATAACTAGTGTGGAGGGGAAATAATTGAAAAAGAATTGTCCTGCAAATGTGAGGATAATGTCAGAAAAAAAAAAAAAGAAGAAGACGGTAAGGCTGTGCGCGTTCGCGCACAGCCTTGGGCAAAAGCCGGGCGCGTGCAGAGGCGCGCCAGTCGGCGCGCCTGACGCGTCTGGTTACTTTTTTTTTTTGTTTTGTTTTTTCTTTTTTTTTTTTTCTCTCCCCTCCCACATTCTCTTTCCTAATCACTCTTACATTATCCCCCTTCTCCCCAACCAATGTGGATGCTCTAAAGACCAAAAGAGAAAGTAGAAAAGTAAAAGCCTAGGTAGTAGGTGTGTAAGATTATAAGCCAATAAAGCCTTAAAAGATCAGAAGTTGAAAACTTAGCGGTGGCTTAGACTGTGGTGTCGAAGGCAGAAAAAGGAGTCCAAGCGTAAAACCATTGGTGAGCAGCAAATGTTTTGAGCAAAATAAAATATTCAAAAAAAAAAAAAAAAAAAGCCGGCCGATTAGTCGATCAGTTGCCTAAAATGGTAGATTTTGCCTAAGTCGCTACTTTAGCAAAATTTCACAATAGAGTTTTCTGTTATCCAACTAAAAATTTATCTAAGATTTAAATAATAAGATTTATCCAACAAAACACACAAAAGGCTATATTCTAGCTTAAACATCTTTAGATTCATTTGCACAAACACATACACAAAGGCTAAAAAAATAAATAGGGTTGTTTTTACAAACCAATTTTTGTGAGCAGGTTTGTTGGCAGAAAATCTTCAAAAAGCTAAAACTCTTCTTTTGCTCGCTTGCCATTTCCTCTGGATCACAACTTCTCGCTTCAATTAAAAATAACTTATTAGAATTTCTAAATGACATTATGCTTATTTATTGTAACTAATACCGTAAATTTTAGCAATCTCATTCAATTAATCGTAACGGAATTGTAGATTATAGTAATTTCATTTAATTAATCGTAACAAATAATGAATATTATAGTAATCTCATACAGTTGACAAATTTGAAAATTAATATGGAGTTATTTTTTGATTTTTTATTGGCTTAATTTGTTTTAGAATTACAATATAAATTAAGCAAACCACTATTTCAAGCGACACCCAAATTACTTGTCATAAAATTATATATAAAAAAAATACTTGACATTTAATACATAAAAAATTTAAATAGCTTATTACACTTTACTTTTTCATATTGTCAAAAGTGATAATGAGAATGTACATTATATTCCTAATATCGAAGGGCTTCAAATGCATTAAATATGATTACATAAAAATTAATTATATTAATACATGTACATTAAATGTAAATATAGTAATTACTTTTATGTTACCCTTTAAAACATGGCAAATTGGCAATACATTTGGCACCGAGCTTAGTCAACTAGTACTACCAAACTAATTATTACATTTACGTCACACTTATAAAGGTGAAAACAAATTTTGCATTCTTTTGGTCAAATCCGTTACACATCATTTTTTTTAGTGCAATTTACCTCTCATGTGTAGTTTGTCGACAATTATACATGAATGCGGTTTACCTAGTTTAAACACTCGGGTTGTAGTTGTGAATTTTCATCGATACCTAAAAAAAAAAAAAAAAAAAAAAAAAAAAAAAACAGACACATTCAACATTGAGCCCATGAATAACATCCTGCAATTGCATAAAATTAATTCACTCGGCTTTATAATTGGTAATTTCTAATTGTGTTCACGAATGCGATAGTTTTTTCACTTTATTTATGAATGATGGATTTTCAGCAATCAACAAAGAAACCTCACACATATGCACTCAATATACATAAGACATGAAAGATGGGTATATATATATATATATATATATATATATATATATATATATAGGGTAGACTTCATATGAGATAGCCTAGTTAGATGAGAAATAAGACTTAATCGTAGCCATTTGTAAACAGGAACGTAGGGTTGAGATTTGATATTTAGATTTTAATATTAGATGTTACATTTCAGCGCATTAATCATAACAATAATCTTTCGAAGGGCAATTTGGTCTTAGGGTGCTAAAGCGGTGATCGAAATTAGAGGAAAACCCCGACTTTCACTCTTCCGTTCCTCTAGCGTGTGTAGGAGTCCGAGAAAACAACGAAGAAGAAACCAAACTACGGCGTAACGCACTGCCATTGACATAAAGCTATGGTTGGATAGAGACGACGAGTAAAACGACGACGAGGAAAAAGAAATTGATCTGAAAGCAGAGGTATGTTTCAAATTTTTTTTTTTTATCTTTTTTAAATATGGGTGTTTTCGGCTGGTAACTGGCAACCCAGATGAGGGTGCCGACGATTTAGAAGTCGGACGAGGTAGAGGGTGAAGGTTTTGTGGTTCGCTAGGCCGATTATCCGTCCGACATTGTTTAACCCAACCACGGGCGTGAGGGAATTACTGAAGGTATCGGGGTAAATTGATGGGGGGAGGGATGAAACCGAAACTACCAACAACGTGTAAAAATGGGATTCCTCATGTGACTATAAAGATGAAATTCTAAGTTTTGAGTGGGAGGAGAAGACACACAGGGTACACACAGTAGGATATATCGTAGCCCACAATTATGTGGCATGCCCTTAACAATTATCTTTCATCTATGTGTCATGCTCTTTAGAATGTTGGAGTTTCCCCATAACTGATTATACAAAGCTTCTGCTAGGAATGTTTTCAGCATGTGCAACCCATTAAAAACACTTTGTGATGTGTAGTTGAGTATTGAATATTTGAGTTAGTTTAAACACTTTTGTGTAGGCGTTATTGGTTCTTTGTGTTTCAGTAGGTTGAGAAAGTATATGAACAGACACTACAATGTAATAGAGCCAGTAGCATTAAAAAAAAAAAACACTTTTGTCCTTAAGCTGAACTGGTGGGGTAGTACAACTGAAGATAATACAAATTGTCACCAAGCATGTGAGGTGGAAATGGTATGTTCACTAACAATATTAAAATTTCAGTTATTGGCACATGGTTTGTATGTATAGTGCACACAGTAGGACATATATATGGCCACAGGTGCACATGAGTGTTCTCTGAAGTGCACACTTGGCAGGGCACACATGCACACGATGCAATCATTTTTTTTTCAAACTAGTATGTATACTCGGTTTGTTGCACTTAAAGTTTATGGCACACGGTGAGGTTGGAAAGTGCACACACAGGGTGCACACAATAGGATATATATAAGCCCACAGGTGCACATGATTAAACACTAAATTGCACACTTGGCAGGGCACACAAGCACTCGGTGAGATTGGAAAGTGCATACACAAGGTACGTAAGTGCACATAGGGTTAATTGCAGGTGTTGTTAACATGTGGATTTTTTGTTCCCATAATAGCCATTTGATGAGTGAGCCCTGCAGAAGATGGACCGCCTTGAAGAAGATTGTGGTGGACCTAGAGCATTTGATTGAGGAGACTGATGGCGTGACTGTGAATGAAGAAATATTGTGGAAATTTCAAGACACAACCCAACACCTAGTGCGAATGCAGGGAAGCCGTGGGATCAATTTGACACCACCCACTGATCCTTAAGAGACACAGCGTGATAACTGAACTAGAAGTAGTCAAATTATTAGGAAATGGTTAATTATGTTTACTTAGTTATGTTTTTTTTAACACACCATATTTAGTGGTGCCTCGTTACTTCAGGTTGTGGTCTTGGATCGACTTGTAGTGCACACGTATTTTTGTTACAATGCATCATTTGCAGACATTGTTTAGAAACGGTAAATAGTCCAGACCAATAACAGGTGAGGGCCTGAGTAGCAGTGAGCACTCTTCACTTTTTGAAATGCACAAATGCTTAATGGCACACAGCAAAAATCGACAGTGCACACAACCACATACTGAAAATCAAATGAGATCAGCCTCATTCACATAGTGCAGTTAACAGGTGCATACGTTTGTGTATAACCACACAGTGTGCCCCATTATACTGTTGGTGTGGTAGGTTTCAGCAGTCACGCACACACCACAAAGTAATTGCACATACTAACCAAAACAATTTCTAAATCATCTATTTACAGTGAAAGTTGGGGGTAACAACGTGGAGCAGACTAGGAAACATATGTAATTATTGGCATTAAACCATTTGAATAGACATTTGCGACTGTCATGGCATTCATAATGCCTTCACAAAGATTGGTTATGCCATGTAACCCTATTAAAGTTGTGTGCACACTATATGAGTGCTAATGGCACACGGTCATAACCTTATGGTGAACAAATCCACGCGTCAAAAATCTTCACTGTAAACGACACACAGTGGTATTCTTGGATGCACACGCCACGTACTGGACAGAAACTGAGTGTATTCTAACATGCACACATTGAATAACTTAGGTACACACAAATGACAAAACATATGTACGTCAATGCCTTCTAATAATACTTAGGGGAAAAAAACGACAAGCATATAATAATATCCAGATTAAGTTAATTAGATTAAACCTACAGATATAAACAATCTGTAATGTTAAACATTCAAAGAATTTCTAAACGCACACGTCTGTGTGATGTCCATCATATTTGTGGCTGTCATGCCAATCATTTTTGTTTACACAAGTCTTTAGGGAGCAATTGCAGCTGTCATGTCCATCAAATTTGTGACAAGTCTTGCACTCTCGTGTAAACTTTGCAGCAATCTCTTTAGCCGAATTGAACCACTTCCCAGAATCCTTATTCTTAGCAACGGTTGGTGTGTAGACAAGAATATCAAGAGACGTGAACACCTCACCCCATCTATTCTTCAAATTAGTGCTACGCCGAACGTTGAACCCAATAGTAGAAACATAGCGGATATAGAACTCAACACCAACATCCAACCTGCGAAACCTCCGACCAATAAATGACTTCATCAACATGTCACACACTGGGTCCCAATACTTTGTACGTCCAGGAAAAATATTCATGACACACCCGGGAGAATCATTTGCTGGTTCTTCGCCAGGTGTGAAAAATGCATCCATATGGTAATGCGGGGAATAAACACAACCAATGAGCATAAAATGCATAAACAATATAACGTGTTGAGAGGTAGTCTGCACTTTAGCTAAACACTATGTGCACAAACTACCAAACATAGAATTAAAAACATTGTTTTGGCTAAACTTGCAGATGATTGAACACAATTTATAAGTAAGAATCCCACGACCAGAAGAGAACACATAAAATAATTCCACTTGGTATACTACCCTTCAAACAACATAAAAAACCAAGAACTAATGATAATGAAGACCTGCACATAACATGATACAGACATGTACACATTCGTAAAAAAAAAAAAAAAAAAAAAAAAAAATCAGCAATATAAAGTGTTGAGTCGTAGTGTGCACTTCAGATGATCACTATGTGCACAATCTACCAAACACCGAAGAAATAACATTGTTTGGGCCCAACTTGCGGATGAAGGGTCGTTATATTATGCACCGCGCGGCAGACACTACAGTGTGTTTAAACCGACACTGTCAAAACGACGTCGTTTTATTTAAGTAAAGAAACAGCCCGTAGTTAGAGTTAACGGAGTCCGCTTGTTTGGTGTATTAAACACCAATTGACACTACAATATATCTAAACCGACAATGCAGTTATATCAAAATGATACTGTAGTTATAGTGAAATGAAACTGAATAACATTTCACATATTTGAGTGTATATTGTACAATGAAGCTGTAATTATATCAAAATGATCATGTAGCTGTGTTTTAATGAAACTATATTGTATATAAAATAAAAATAAATAACATTTTCACATATTTGAGTCTATAAATATCGAATGAAACTATAATTATATCGTAATGAAACTGTAGTTGTGTTGAACTGAAACTGCAGTGTATACAAAATGACACTGAATAATAGAGTTACTTTTTGCAAAAGGGTGCGAAACAGCGAAAACAAACACCGTTTATTTTCATTTAAAAAAAGACGCGCGGTGCATAATGGATTATGCACCGCGGTGCATAATATAATTTGCCGCGGATGAATGAACACAAATTGTGAGTAAGGATCCCACGACCATAAGAGTACAGATAAAAGAAAAAAGAAAAAAGAAAAAAAAAACTAAGGATAATGAAGATGATAGAACACAGATATAGACGGCAGAATAGAAACATGCACACCGCAGGATACCGACATGCACACATTTGCGGAACACAACATAATTAGACGAAAAAAATAACTAAAACCATTGGAAGACATACCTTCATGACCGTATCCATGCTTCGACAGCGATGAAGAACGACAACTAAAAAGGTGAAGAAAATGACGGAAGTTGACAAAAGCCGATAAAAACTACGGACACCCATGATCAAAGAACAAAGTGGAATCCTACCAAAATTAAAACAACTAAAATCTTGCATAATATATGATTAGAATTGCAGTAAAAAAAAAAAAAAAAAAAAAAAAAACACCCATAGACAATTACATATAAAGCCCTAGTAATTAATATTAAAAGATAAAGGAAGAAAAAAAGGAATAATCTCAGCCATCAAAACTCTAGAGATGGACGCTCAAAATTAATTCTTATTTCTCATCTAAATAGGTTGTCTCATTTGATTATAAATCTATATATATATATATATATATATATATATATATATATATACCCATCTTTCATGTCTTATGTATATTGAGTGCATATGTGTGAGGTTTCTTTGTTGATTGCTGAAAATCCATCATTCATAAATAAAGTGAAAAAACTATCGCATTCATGAACACAATTAGAAATTACCAATTATAAAGCGGAGTGAATTAATTTTATGTAATTGCAGGATGTTATTCATGGGCTCAATGTTGAATGTGTGTGTGTGTTTTTTTTTTTTTTTTTTTGGGTAGCGATGAATATTTACACAACCCTAGTGTTTAAACTAGGTAAAACGCATTCATGTATACTTGTCAACAAACTACACATGAGAGGTAAATTGCACTAAAAAAACGATGTGTAACGGATTTGACCAAAAGAATGCAGAATTTGTTTTCACCTTTATAAATGTGACGTAAATGTAATAATTAGTTTGGTAGTACTAGTTGACTAAGCTCAGTGCCAAATGTATTGCCAATTTGCCATGTTTTAAAGGGTAACATAAACGTAATTATTATATTTACATTTAATGTACATGTATTAATATAATTAATTTTTATGTAATCATATTTAATGCATTTGAAGTCCTTCGATATTAGGAATATAATGTATATTCTCATTATCACTTTTGACAATATGAAAAAGTAAAGTGTAATAAGCTATTTAAATTTTTTTGTGTATTAAATGTCAAGTATTTATTTTTTATATAATTTTATGACAAGTAAATGGAATTCACATTCGAACGAGAGAGAGAAGCAGAAATAAAACTTGCTTATTGGAAAATATATCTTCAGTGTTACAGATAACAAAGCATAGAGAAAGGTTATATACAATGGATAAAAAACGGGAAGAAGATATCAAGGTGGTTACAACCAACTAACAGATGGAAAGACAATAACACCCCTAACTGGTGGCTGCATGCTGGCTTGAACCGTCATCCTCCAACACCCCCGTAAGCTGGAGCGTGTAGATTATGCACGCCCAGTTTAGACACAAAAGGACTGTTGATCTGGTTCCACATTTTGTTGGCAATCTGCCTTGGTCTAAACAGCATCTCACCACCTTGGTTGATGTTAAACCTTTTAACATTTCTGATATGTGAGCAAGAACATCTTGCATAACTCTTTTGAGAACTTGAATCGACAATATCTGCTGAGCAGTAGAGACAAGAGTTTCCAGGAAAACAATGATCTTATTTGCATATTCATTTCCCCCTTGAGAGGATCATCAGCCATCCAATTTACATTTTCTATCAGCATGAGAAGCCCATCAACCTTTTGCTTAAGCCATCCAGACAGCATCTCTTCAGCCTTATCACTGGCTTTAGTCAATGGAAACTGCCTCCTGCCCCTCTCCACCATATTGTAGAAATCAAGCTAGAAATCAGAAATCAATTGGAGAATGGCAGAAACAGATGTCATTAGAGTAGGCTTTAGCACTGAAGCATCTCCCTGAGTTCCTTTCTTGATTTTATTGGATGTGTCTGTTAACGTCAATGCTGAACTATAGCCAATTGAAGCACCACCAGCCATCATCACAATCTCAGCAGCCAATTAAAAAACATGAGCTAGAGGCAAGTATGCCACATAGACATCATTGGTTCCAAGGTTTGAGTCGATCACAGTCATAACTGCAGCCGCTGTAGCTACAATGTTGCCATGAGTTATCATAACACCCTTAGGCAATCCTGTACTGCCACTTGTATACATGAAAAGGATGCCTGCCACATTCAGAAGTGCAGTCGCAAATCCTCCATAGACAGCATTCATGTCCATGACATTCCACATAGTAGACCAGTTAATTCCCATTCCATTCAGATATGACTTGGTCACAACTCGTGTCCAATGTTTATAATCTGTAGCAAAATCTTCAGGAGCTGGCTTCCCATACACACCTGTCTCAGTACTCAGTAACCAAT